AATTTTCAGATGTATTTCTACATCCTGTCTCCACAGGACGTCTGCATACATCGAACCGTTATGTCGCTGGAACAAAGCAGAGGAATAAACTTGGTGACTTGGTGATTATGAATGTATAGATCAGCCTTCATTTCCTCTTGTACATGTATGGACTGGAGATTGCTCACAACTTCAATCTATTTATTTATTTGCCCAGACTCCAGCAAAGATCATCATAGTTTAATACAAACGTTCACTTGATTTACAAACTAGTTTAGTTTAAAAATGAGAACTAGAAATGAAGTTGGATTAATTTAAAATGAACAAATCAAGGTTATTTAAGGAAATTCCAGTTATAGAGATTAAAATGAGTTGATTCCACTAAACTCCTGTATGTTTTACAGTGCCTAGCATCCTCTAGAAAACCAGAACTGTATTTTTTACATTTTGTCTTGAGTTCAAGTCTACCTGCGCAGATAAGCTAACTGACTGCTAATGGTAGCCCCATAATTGAGAGTGGTATCGATCTTCTTTTGGCTTTAAGAATCAGCTGCAAGTCAACAGATGAAAGAGAAGTGAAAATTTACGTTGAAATAAATAGGCTGTGATGTGATATTTATAGTAAAAGGTTTGTGATCTCATCTCTTCCAGCAAATTTAGTATAGAGAAAAAAACATAAGGGTTTTAAAAAGTGATATTATTTGACTTGACACTGATTTTAAAAAATGCGGTGAGATGTAAATGGTAGAAAACAGTTTAATCAGTAAAAACAGGAGCGACAGAGCAAAACAAACAATTCTCTGTTGGTTGTATATGAACGAGTGATCTGGTAATGTTGATTGTTATGGCATGAAATTCATACATTTAGTTCATGTGGTTGGTAAAAATGGCATCACATTGTTTTGACTCCATGTAACAGTTAAAAACCAGGTCTGAACATGAGAAGGAAGTTCACATATTTACTTACATTTAAAGATATGTTCTTGATTCATTTACATATGGAGGACAAGAAATGTCATGGGACAGGAATACAGCATTCCA